CTGCTGAAGGGGAACGGCAGCTCCAGGAGGGGGCAGGGGCAGCAGGCTCCCTCCAACGGGGCCTCCGGGGCCTGGTTCCCTCTCCCCCATCTCTGGCCTCACTCGGCCTCTCCCCATCCCTGCCCGCAGAGGAAGCCCCCAACTGCCCCCCCCCCCAGGTGCCAGGTGGGACAAGTGGGTCTGATTTTTAGACTTTTGTATTGTGGACTGACTTTGCCTCACATTAAAAACTCATCCCATTGCCCGGGCAGTCCACTGTGCTTCTGGAAGGTTCTTACCCAGTATCTTACAATGGGTTTACTAGGTCTCACCTTCCCACCCAGGGACTTTCCTGTAAGGAAGGGGACTGTGGACCGTCGCAACCTGTGTTGAGGCCCTGACCTCTGGGCCCCTCCTTCCTGTATGCCCACCTAGCGCCTGGCCAGTATGCCAGCTCAGCATCCCCAGGATACCCTTCGGCCAGAAGAGGGGGCCCTCGAGCCCTCTCCCCTGCCATCCAGTTTTCCTGCCACGCTGCTCCCAATACTTGGGGGCAGTGAGGGTGTTGGACAGGTGCTGGATGCATTACCTACTGGCGGAAAGGTTTGCAGAGAGGAGGCCGTGGTACCAAAAGGCTGACCTGACTCAGCAAGGGGATCATTATCTGCAAAGCCAGGGAAATGGGCAGGGCCGTGTGAGCCCCAGGAAAGAGTTTGGATTTTATTCCCAGGATGGCAGAAGTCATCCTCTGTGATCCTGATGTCCCCATGGCTTCAGCTGGAGAGCACTTGGACGCTAGGTTGCCCTAGAGATGAAGGCCCCACCGCTCCCATTCTGCCCATTCCTGAGATTCTTCCCAAAATGACTACTATAAGTTCAGAAAGGTCCTGATTCTAGGAGCCGCCCCCAGGGGCCCTGCAGAGGCTGGGGGGTGGGGGTGGAGGGACTGGGCCCAGTGCTTCCGAGAGGCCATCCAGGCCCGATAGCTGGAGATCCCATAGCTAGGGTTTCTCCAAGGTTTGCTGAAGACAGCAGCCCTGGCCTGTAGGAGAAGCCCCGGTGGACCAAGCCAGGGGTGGGCTGCCTAGGGTGGGGTCACTGGGTGGAGAAAGTGATGTGGGTGAGGGTGGCCACTGGCCCGAGACTCAGACCTTCAGCGCCGCCCAGAGCTTTCTCTTGCCTGAGCGTCAGGTTTAAAGGCTAAAGATGCCAGGGGCTGCCAGACAGTCTGGAGCTAAAGCACAGGTAGGAGCAGAGAAGGCGAGCTGTAAACACGTGCCGAGCACTGCAATACAGGATTTCACTTAATTCTCACTCTCAGGCTGTGGGTGCTAGTATAAGCCCCATTGCACAAGTGGGAGAGTTGAGGCAGGTTACCTAATAGATATGGATTTGACCTTGAGCAATCTGAATCAAATTCCAGAGTTCCTAAGGACTTTGCAACTCCTCTGCAGACCCCTGGGCCTGAGTCCCTACCAACTTCTCTGGGCCTTCTGGAAAGGAGGGGTAGGAAATCTCAAAAGCTTCTCCCAGTCCAGGGGGTCCCTTTCAGGGACTTCTCGTATCTCTGCCGACTCCAGCCGCCTCCAGAGGGGAGGCCGTGTGGTCCTGGAACAAGGCCACTCTGAGGGCCGAAGATGGGGCAGGCAGCCCAGGCACACAGCACGGTTGGTTCTGCAGCCCGGAGCCCACAAAGGCCTCATTGAGTCACCGCTGGCCCCCAGCGGAGGCTGAGGTGGCAGTGGCGCCGGGCGCCTGCCACCTAATGACCGTCCTGGCCCGGCCAGATGTTCCACAGACCTCGGCAGCGGCCGGCCAGGGCCCGCCGGCCAGCCGGCACCGCAGAGGCCACTCTAATTCCAATTAACCAGCTTCAGCTGAGCAAACAGCGGGCAGCGGTGGCCCAGCCCGGGCGGTAGGCCCGGCCCGCAGAGCCTCCGAGTCTAGACTCCAGATGTGAACCGCCACAGCCAGAGTCCCATGGAAAAATGGCACCAGGCCGGGCACGGATTGGGTCTGCACGCTGGAGAGGTGGGGGCGGGCAGGGCCCTGGGTGGGCCTAGTGCCAGCCTCACCCTGGAGTGGGAGTGGATTCTTGGGAAACTGCTCCAAAGCCCCCATATTCTGCCCCTGATTTGTTAGGTGTCCCTCTCTGTGGCCTCAGTCTCCCTTGACTATGGTAGGTGGGAGGGGTCTAATGTAGGGGAAGGGAGAAGGCCAGCCCTGCTGAGGGCTCCAGTACATTATTTCATTTGTGTTTCACGTGTCTAGCATTATGCTATGTATTTTAGAAATATTTATGTAATCGATATAAGAGCCCTGTGAGGTAGGTACTATCATTTTTACAGGTAAAGGAAATTGAAGCAGAGAGACATTTAAGTGCCCAGGGGGAGGATTTGAACCCAGGGTGCCCGACTTCCAGAATCATGATGTTCAGCACAGGTGGTGTTGATGCAAGTCAGGATGCTAGATTCCGGGTTCCGGCCTCGTGGTGGTGTTGGAGGAGAGGGTCAGCGTCTGACAGCAGGGCTGCCTACCACAATGTGACGGGCAGGCCTACCCACTCTGTCCTGTTTCCTCAGCTGTGAAATGGGTAAGACCCTCCTGGGTGGCTCCAAATCTGGGAGTAAAGCCCTGAGATGCCCTTTTGGGGCTTCAGCACCATCTATGAGCTGGGCATCGGTCAAGCCACTAGACACAGCAGGGAACACCGGGCAAGCGCGGGTTCCCCAGCTGACCTTGTGATCAGGGAAACAGACTTGAAACGGCTGAACAAATGGATAATGTCAAGTCAATGATAATGTCAAGACCTCAGGCAGGAGAGGTCCTACGCCAAAAAAAGGGCAAGACTTGCCCGGGGTCTCATAAGGAGTGGAGACCAGAGGCGGGGCCTGCTGCTCGCTGGCCACCCAGCTCTCCCACCGCTAGGATTCCCTCCACGTTCCAGGCCGGGTCGTGGGAGGCGGAGGTTGGGGAGGAGGCAGCATCCTGCCCGGGTGCGTCAGGAAGGGCCGAGCGGGAAGGAAGGCACCACCCCCACCCCCGCCGCGGCCACACCTGGGCTCTCCACGCGGGCAGGGGGGCCCGGGCCGGCGCTTGGCTCCAGCGAGTCTGGGCCGCCTCCCCGCGCCGCCCGGCGGGGGATGCCAGATGGGCCGGCCGCCCGCCCAGCTACGCAGGCAGGAAACAGCCGCCAGGGCTGCCAGGAAGGCGGACGCGAGGGGCGAGGCGGGGCCGAAGTGGCCCCGTCCCCTGAGGGGAGGGGTCAGGCGCAGGCGCGGCCAAGACCCTGTAAGCCGTGGAATGCCGGCTCAGCCGCCTACTTATCAGGGTTTCCTTGGGCAAGTCACTTCTCTTTTCTATCCCCCAGTTTCCCCACCAGTAAAATGCGTCTGCTTATCCCAGCTCTTTTCTTATCAGGTCAGTTTCTTTCCCTCCTGTTCCTTGGTTTTCGTACCCAGAAAATGGGGCAACAGCGATGGGCCATCTCCACTGAGATAAAACTCTGGGAGGGCTGAGCCTTTGCTTTCCTCCCCACCGTTGTAACCTAGCATCTGGCCCAGTGACCTAAAGAGTGGCACTCAGTATTTGTTGAATGACTTGTTGAATGTCCCAGGTCTAGGACAATCCTAGGGGACTGGCACATAGAAAGCACTTCATAAATGGACACACTCACATTGCCTTGGGTCTGCTGCTTACCCACAGTGTGGGTTCAGGCAAGCAGCTTCCGGTATCTGAGCCTCAGTTTCCTCGTCTGCCCCACGGGTGGCTGTGAGGATTTAATTGAAATAATCCATGGAAATAATCCATGGAAAGCACATACAGCAGGTCCCCAATAGATTATATTTATGGAAGAGTCTACAAGATGTGTAAAAAGAGATACAAACTTGGGTAAATTTGACGACAAGAAAAATATGAAGGTGGCTTGGAAGGAAATTTTTACTGTACATGTAATCTTTTGTATTCTTTAATTTTTGAATTTTTCAAAGACAAATACAATTGAAAATAGAAATAAATCCATCCCTAGCAAAAAGAAGGATCAGCTATTATCTCCAACTGTCAAAGGAAGCCCCTTAAACTCAGAAAGGGTCCAAAACCTTTCTGAGTCACAAGGAGCTGGGAAATGGCAAAGATGAGATTTGAACACAAATCTGTCGGACTCGAAATTAAAAACAAAGAGGAGTGAGGAAAGGAAGCTTATTTAGCCTTCATTACTGTTTCCAAGAGAGGATCCCTGTCTGAGTAGAGGGCAGAGGCCAGCAAAGTGGAAAAGAGAGATGAGGAAAGGTGAGCAGATCTCACAAGGCCAGGCTGTGGAGCTTTGGCTTTATTCTGGAAGCACTGGAAGCAAAGGAAGGATTCCGAGCCAAGGAGTGACATAGTCCTTTCTAAGCATTAAAATTGGGAAGGCCTGGAAGCCAAGGATGGGGCCCCAGGTCAGTGATAGTGATGCGCTGAGTGATAAAAGGGCAAGGGCCCCGGGGGCAGATGAACAAGAGAGATTGAGAAACAAAGCAGGCCAGAGAGTGGACCCACGGTCATCCAGATATCCCTCAGCAGCATAGCAGGGCCATGAACCCACGTGTCCCAACTCTACTTACCAATTTCCTCTTCCTTGGAGGTTGTTCAACCCATACCACTCCCACCCTTAAAAATGTCTTAAGACCCCTGAAGGGGCCCTGAGTCTAGTCTGGTGCCAGGAAAGAAGCCTAAATTCCCAGCAGCTTTGAG